TGCATTACCCGATTTAGAAATTATGATTGTCAAATATTACTTAAGTATTTGACTATCAAATATTTATTTGATTCTGCTGAGTACTAGTTGGAATGGGTTTGAGTATAAATTTTTATTAATAAAAAATAGCTTTACAATGAATAAAAACGTAATAAAAGTTGAAAGAAAAATTTTATTAGCAGAAGTTCGTTTAACTAATATCATTCCAATTAACAAAAGATAGAGGCCCAAACGTCTTTTTTTGTAATTGATTAAAAAAAATAATTGTTTAAAGACCTCGCTCTTTTTACATTATTATCATTATGGATCTTTAAAATTATTCTGAATTATTACCTTATGTTAAAGATCATTGCTATGAATAAAAGGCAGGCTTTTGTGTTAGATAGCTTTATTCTTTGTTTTTTTTATAAAGGTTAGCATCATAAATTGAGGAAGTTATGTAAGCATATTTCAATCATATCCATACTATCGGTTTTCAAAAATGGTCTAATTTAATAGAAATCGGTAGCTAATCATGCTTGAGAATGCAAATTTGTACTACCCATATAGGCTAATAATGCGTAGTAAGACAGATTATTTGACAATACAATTGTCTGAATAACTGAGGTGAAAGGTTTATTTTGATAACAATAACAAAATCAAATAGCATGCCTGGGCTAATAATTAGACGATAATCTAATGGGTTTTATGCATATTCATTACAGAATAGATAGGGATGTTAATTGGTCCTGCAGTAAATGCCAGCCAACTTTGAGCAAGATTTATAAAAAATTGGCATTTTTAACTGATATTCATCTAATAAATAAAGTCATAGAAAAATAATATTTCTGTAATATTTTCTAATAGAAGTTTATCAGTTTTTGTATTAGTTTTTGAGTAATTTAGATGAGACCAATTAGGGACTGACTAGCTAAATTTTTTCTATACTGTTCAGTCCCTAATTTATCCCATCTAAATTACTCAAGAACTAATGCAAAAACTGATAAACTTCTATTAGAAAATGTTACAGAAAAGTTGTTTTTCTATGACTTTATCTATTAGACGAATATCAGTTAAAAATGCTAATTTTTATAAATCTTGCTGACATTTACTATAGGACCAATTAACATCCCTAAGAATAGACCCTCATTAATTCAAAACAATCACCCTAAGAATTTGTCAGACCAATCAAAAAAAAATTATTTAAGTAACACTATTCAGAGCTCAATAATCAAAAATTAGCCTATATATATAAAATGCTAGCCAATATATCCGGGCATTACAAAGACTAGAAATATACCTGTTGTTCAAATTCACAAGTCTTCAATGTTTTACACCAGCTAGATATTCTTCAAAGCGTAAAGATGCTATTATTTGATATATAATATGAATAGTATACAGATATAAATAGAATTATTATTCACAGAATACCTCCAGGTACAGCTTATAGGAGGGTCTAATAGCATTTTATGGTATAATCTAATTGGTAAATCTATCATTTCACGTGATTTTTATTTAATTCTTATTGGCTAGGGATATCAACAGGAGAATATTAATTATAAAAAAATTATTTTATATTGATAGAGATATCAACGAAAGATATTAATAAAGTTGATATATGCGGGGAAATTTTTATATATGGAAATTTATTTTGTTGATAAAGTTGACATTAACGGGAGGTTGATATTAACGGGGTTGATATTAACGAGGGTAAACTGTGTTATGATCATGATTATCTTATATAACAACCTGATAATCCCAATGTGGAGGAATCTTCTAATTTTCTTGAGCCTTTAGGAGATAAAAATTTTGAATTTACAAAATTACTGAAAGAGCTTATATCAATTGCTGAAGAGTGGAGAGGAAAGGAAAGTCAAGATATCCGCAGCTTAAGATTAATACCTAGACAATCTACTCAAATGGAAAGGGTGAGAATTGCAAGGGTTAATACCATAGTTAGTAATAACATGTTGGAAGTATTTAAAATACCACCAAATACAGGTATCAAAAAACAGAATAGATATTAATATGTTATACAATATAATTATAATATAAAATAAAATATAAATAAAATTATTTATTAAACTTCGAATATATATCACATTTGGTTAATTTTTCAAGATGTATGATGAATGCAAAAGTGTATCTAAAATAAAATTAAATTAAAAATAAATTAAAATTAATATTTATAAAATAAAATTAAAGTAACTAAAAATAAATTAAATTAAATAAAATTAGAAAAAAATAGATATGAAGAAAGAATGCTTCGAAGCATATAACTAGCAAATATCTTTAAAGGATCTTAATATAATACATATTTCATTCGCTCTTAAAATAGTAATGACCCCAAAAAAAAAGAAATTAGTAAAGAAAAAGACATGATCGACCAGTAAAACTAATTTCTAAGTAGATAGATCATTTAATATCAGATGCATTCTAGAAGCCATAAACTTACTCAAATAGCTAAGTCCATTTTTATGTTAGAAGTGGCCTTTCTTACTATAGAAGTGTACCTAAATATTTTAGGAAAAGTAATTAATTAATTTATAAAAATTTTGCCAAATTACTATACTGTTTAATACACTAATTAATTTGCCAACTATTATAGCAACAAAAATTGAGGTAATTTTTCCTAACGATGCATACAATACATGATAATAAAATGAGGAATGAATTAAATAATTCAATCAATTTGCCAACTATGAATTTTGGCAAGTAAAAAATATGATAATTTAGATAATATATATTCCTAACAATGCATAAAAACTGCGTGATAATAGAACGAGAAATTACTAATAATAATAAAATAGTTCAAAAAATAAATAAATACCTTTCACTGCTTTCTTTAATATCGAAACCCAATTTTACCTTGATATTAAAAACAATATTTGATATTTTTGATATCTTCACACCCAATAAACATTTGATACTTATAGCAAATCTATATAAGAAAGTTATAGCCGAACTATTAGGCCCTAACAATAACAATCCAATTAATAATATTGCTTCTTCTTATAATCTATTACAAAGTTACCAAATCCAAGTCGAGATTACTAATCAATTCCTTCACCAATCCAAAAGAATGGAAAATAGAAAAGCATTATTATGGTATGCTTATTATTTGGAAAGCATACTAGAAAACATGTCATCGGATAAAAGACCATCCTGTACAAAGCAACTTTCCCGATATTATGCTACTGTAGCTGTTCGAACTTACTACATTTTTCGTAAATGGAGAATTGCCAGAATTGATCAAACGATAAAATTAACACTTCCAATGATCTATGAATTGAAGGCAAAGGATTATCAAAGAATTGTAAACTAAAAAACATACAAAATTTTTTTTTTTTAAAGAATTTATTAAAATTTTTCTTACTAAGATAATGGAAATAAAACCAATATCTTTTATATGTAAAATTATATAGATTTTTTTTTTTAATAAAGATTATATTTTAACATTCATGTTTTCTAAATAAATAACAAGTATAAGAAATATTGAATACTTAAAAAATTCTTCATTTTATCAATAAACTTTACTTATCTCTTCTGGGCCTAGTATAGAGAAAGCCGACCATATTTTTCAGTTTGAGCATCTATTAGCAGATCAAATTGTACTAGAACCTTTCGATTTGAACTTTGACAGCCTGATCTAATTTCTAATTCAAAGCAAATATGACAAGTATTTAAATAAAACCCAGCAAAGAGCAATAAAATCGCATCTAAAAAAAACTTCAATTTTTTTTTATTTGTAGCATGCAAATGTGATTGGCTGTAAATGATCAGTAATATCACGTTATTAATGATCAATGATTGCAGCCAATAGAAAATGCGATTTACCGATGACCAATAGAAACTTTGGGGGAAAATTAGTAAATATGTACGATCATAGTATAACGTGATAGGCAAATTACTATGTAAATCCTACAAGTTAGGAATCTTGCAGCTCGCCTATAGAAATCTTTTTTTTTATTATATTAATCGCTTTTTATTATTAAGTAGGAATTGTAAAGCTTAGTAAGATGAATCTAATGGTGGTTAGAACATTAAAATCGGCCTAGTGAATACCGAGATATCTTTGAAAAATGATTGGCCAACTATATAAAATTTTTATATAGACAATAGTTTGTTTACATAGAATTTTATATAGTCAACCAATTGTTTTTCAAAGATTTCTCAGCATCCACTGGGCCGAATTTAATGTTCTAACCACCATTAGATTCATCTCAATATGCTCTACAATTGCTACTTAAGAATGAATAGCGATTAACTTAATAAGAAAAAAGTTTTTTATAGGCAGGCTGCAAGATTCCTAACTTATAGAATTTATATAGTAATTTGTGTTATGTTATACTATGATCATACTACTGGTTTGTAGCGGATCATCAATTAAATATAAATTAAATAAGTTGACACACTCAAATTTATATGTAAAATTTAATGTTTTTTTTAAAAAAATATTGTATATAAAGTTTAAGCTTTATAATATTAATCTTGTAAATATCTAATTACTAGGGTTGTTTAAAGCCAGGTCCGTCATGAGATCTTCCGTTATGCATGACCAATCAAATTCGCAAATTTTTGTTTATGCGACGAAGCAAAAAAAGTAAAAAATGCGAAAAATATAAGAAACAAATATTTAAACCTATCTTGGTATAATAAGAAAAAATATCGGGAAAATGATATAGGCCCTAAACTAACTTTAACCTTAACGTTAATTTAAATTTGTGATGGATCTGGCTTTAAGCATCCCCTAATTACTATATATGTTGTGTCTAGAGATGTTAAATGATCTACTTAAACTTATCTGACTCCAGAAGTCGAGTCAGTACCAAACACAAACTTGAGTTTTTAATCACATAAAATTATACAAAATCATGATTAACGATAAAATATAAACTTTATTATTTCTATATTTGGAGATCATTAAAGTAGAGTTAATTTCATACTCTTGATATTTATATAAAAAAAGCCTTAAAACATCATCAAAAAGATAACCCTAACTAAAATTAACTCTGCTTGTGCCAATCTTAACGTTAAATAAAAAGATATAGTATTTTTTTTTTTTCTATTCTACTGTATTCTATTCTATATACTATTTTATAATTTAGTAATTTCTATTTCTAACCAGCTCTTCAAACGTAATGAAGCTCTTACTGTTTGATCAAAAAGATAATTTCTAGTAAGATTAATAGTGTTTTTTGCAACAGAAATGGCTCTTTTACAAGGAACACTAGTAGCTTGCAAGGCAAGATAGTCTGCTGTCAAGCAAGCTAGAGTTGAAAAACAAGAAGCATTAACTTTCTATCACAAAAGTGAATCAGCACCATGCTTACAAGATAAAGAAAGATATGCTGTTAGCTCATTAACTTTCTCTAACTCAGTTGATCTATCTTCGCTTAGTTGCATAAGCTTTTTGAAAAATCCCAATTTATCTTCTGATTTGAAGGCAGTTTTTAAATTATTTGATATTAATTTATTAGAACTATATGACAAATAATTTTTTTTTAACTAGTTAATAGACAGTTTATAGTCAGTTTAATAGAAAACTTTAAATTTGTTTGAGAGATTGAGAAGAGCAGAAATAGCTGAAGATTAAGAAAGATAAGCCCAATATTTATATAGCTTATTTTTCATTTTTTTAACCATATCTTGATGTGTATCAAGTATAATATAATGATTGAAATGCAGAAAGAGATCTTGAATAATTATTCATATAGATCTTTAAGAGAGTTGTAAAGCATTTGACAATACCATAGTTGCTGTATAAAAAGGTTTGAGAAATTCAATTATTTCATTTATTATATTCTAATCATTAGTTTCTAAATAATTATCTCTTATGTTTAGACAGGATTGCACAAGGCTATTGGTAATAGGCTTAATTTCAACAAGCCATTTAAGCATTAAGTAGGTGGAGTTTTACCTTGTGTTGATGTCTATTTTTGAATAGAGGAATTGTCGATTTAGAATGGCAAAAATTCTTTCCATTTCACCTAAAAGTAAAAGTGATTTTTTTAATATATTGCAAAAATAATAGGCTTTTTTAATTTGATTATTATATTTTTTTTAACCTTCTCTAATTACAAAATTAATGACATGTGTTATGCAACAAATATATATAAAGTTGGGGCTTATAAATCTTTTAAGGTTACTTAAACATATTGTATTATTTGATGTATTGTTACTAGTAAAACTAATTACTTTATTATTTATTTCAAAATCATTAAGAAGTTCAAAAACATTTTTACCAAGGTATTCTCCAGTATGGGCACTATGTAATAGAATAAAGTCAAGTAGTAAGATTTTTAAGATCCATTCATTATTGATTTAGTAGACAGTAATATCAAAGAAAGTTTGTTGATTATATGCAGTCCAGATATCGAAAGTAAGTACAAATTTACTTTTATTTACCTTTAAAATTTTTTTTACTCTTAATCTTGCTAAGTCAACATAGATTTTTATATTTGTAGAAAGTATTTAACAACAAAGCAACTTATAATGCAGATTAAGATTATTAACCAATTTGATAAATGAGTCTGCCTCAACTGTTGAAAATGGTTGTTGTTTAATAAAATCTATTTTAATAGATTATTATTTAAAAACTTAACACAATTTTTTTTAATAGGTATAATAGTTAAGTAAAAAGAAGGTTGAATACTCAAGGAGTTTTGTTGAAGATCTTTAAAAATAAGTGGATGTTTGCTTTTAAAGTGACTTTTTACAGTTGAAATTGATATTTCTTCAACCCACTTATTATTGCATATTTTGCAAACTTTAAAGACTTTGTCACTAAGCTTGTCATTTAGTTTATCAATATATTTACGAACTGGGTTAAGTTTTTGTCTAAATCGTTGTTTATTTGAGTGATTGCTTTTAGCAGAATATTTATAATCATGTTTATTAGAATTTTTAAGATTCAATTTAGTAGAGCCTTTAGAATAATCAAGTTTGATAAATTTATAAAATTATTAGAACTTATAGCTGCCTGAAGAGAATTTTGAATATTTTTAAAAAAAGATTCAGCAGAGGAATCAGTAATCAAATAGGGTGTTGTAGACATGATTTAAGATAAATATTTATCTGATTACAAGTGAATCTACAGATAAGAAAAAGAAGGCAAGAGGCTTTATATAACTTCTCACAATTTATATTACACTATATTATTATTGATTTTTTATCTTATGTGATTTCAGAAATTTACTATTGTTGAAACAATGAATTTCTAAAATCATAGAAGTCTAGACATCTACAAGCAATATCATGATTGATTATATTTAGAATAATAATGAATCTGATTATTAAACCAGAGCCACCAGATTTTAGTAGTATCTAAATAGTATTAGTGATATTGCAACAATTACAAAACCAAATTCAATCAAAATTTGTTTATTTTTATTTTATATATTTATATTTATAGAATTAAAGAAAAACAATTTCAGTCAGATTTGGTTATATGGTTGTCACAATATTGCTAATACTATTTTAAATGCTACTAAAATCGGTGGCTTGAACTAATAAAAAAAAAGTGATCACAAAGTTTTAAAAAGCCCTAATTAGACTGTGATAAAAATAATTAATATGAATTATTTTTATTATAGTCTAATTAGGATTTCAAGACTTTGCAATCACTCTTTTTAGATTAATTTAAAAGCAAACCTATTGTTACTTGGACCTTAGTAGTTGTGAGTATACATTTATATCTTGTATATATTATTATGATATTGCTAATTTAAACACTAGTAGCTCAAACTGACAAAAAAAAGTGATTACAAAGTCTTGAAAAGCTCTAATTAGACTGTGATTAAAATAATTAATATGAATTATTTTTATTATAGTCTAATTAGGATTTTAAAACTTTGCAATTACTCTTTTTAAATTAATTAAAAGCAAACTTAGTGTTACTTGGACCTTGGTAGTTGTGAGTATATATTTATATCTTGTATATATTATTATAATATTGCTAATTTAAATGCTATTAAAAAATCTGGTGGCTCAAACTAACCAAAAAAAAGTAATCGCAAAGTTTTGAAAAGCCCTGATTAGACTATGATAAAAATAATTAATAATATAAATTATTTTTATCATAGTCTAATTAGGATTTCAAGACTTCGTGATCGCTCCTTTTAAATTAATTGAAAGCAAACTTATTGTTACTTGGACCTTGGTAGTTGTGAATCTACATTTATATTTTATGTATATTATTATAATATAATTGTGGTTTCACTATAAGGTTGCTCTTTTTAAACTAATTGGTGATAACTTATTATTTGAACTCTTGTGATTATAGTATAATTACTGCTTCACTATAAGATTACTCTTTTCAAGCAAATTTATTATTGAATTCTTGCAGTTATGAATATGCATTTATATATTGTATATGTTATTTCTTTTAAAATTAGTTGATGAGTAAATTTTAATCTAGTTTAATGATGTGATTGTATTTTCGTTAGAACTTTGTTATTGTTTGCACTATTGTAATTACCAAATTTATAATTTATTTACGTGAATTTACCATTATTGTTACTCTATTTTTATTGGTATTATTATTCTGTTAGAACTAAATAAAAAAAATTTTATGGGTTTACTACAAGGATAAATGCCTTCTGTTGTTGGCTAAAGTCTTAGGGTCTTTCACGGTAAATTATTGTTTCCGAAAGGGGTATATTAGGAGGAAACATGTGACATTGGTTGAAGCCAGAGAGTTTAAATAGATAGCTTCCTA